AACGTGGCGGCCTGTTTTGTACTGCTACGGGGTCCCGGTTTAACACAGCCACTACTCCCCTGAGTGCCTCAAAACGTCCCCTTGAAGTTATTAAAGGCAGTAATGAGGGGTAGCTACACTGAGCCGGGTGGGAGCCCGCAGGTCAGCAGTGGCTGCTGGTGCTCATCCCGGGCGGGGGATGCTGGCGAGGGGACGTGGTGCTGGGGGTGCTCTGTCCTGCAGTCTTGGGGGCTGCCGGCAGCCGCTGGAGAGGAGCGCTTCACGTGCAAGTGCATTGCTATGCAGCTGCACTGGGAAGGTACCAGGGAAAAACAATACAAATACCTGCCAACCGATCGTATCTTAAGGAGACGCACAAACTTCATCTGCCTTGTGATTATTTTATACTGAAGAACAGGTGTTACCAAGCTTTTAAATTCACCTCTTCTTGTCTTTGCAGTTTCTTGTTACTTGTCTGCACGCTCACACGACAGGTAAGAAACCCTCCCAGGCCCGGCCTCCTGGCAGGGTGCCCAGGCCCTGCCCCCGGTCTCTTGGGGAGGGCGCGGCTGGGGATTTACGCTGAGCAGCGAGTCAATATATCGGATGACACCGTGATAAACACACAGAGGAAATGATGCCCTTCCCCCTGCTTCTCATGACAAACAACGTCTGACCGTCCTGCCCCTTCAAAACGGAAGCTGTGGCCCTTTGTTTTACAAGGAATTGATCTCAAAGGGAGTGATGCCCCTTAAGCAACGAGTCTGTGTGAGCTCAGGCAGCGGAGGGGGAGGTGTTTCTGTGTCTGGCTGCAGCAAGGCCTCGTTCTCCCTGCTGGGAAGCATGTGCGGGACTAAACGCAAAGGCTCTCCCAGGGCTGTCCCCTTGTCAGTGAGGCGGTTTAACTCCTTCACGTTGCAGAGCTGCTGCAGATGCGTCCTATGTGGGGATGCCTCTCTGTCCAGAGCTTTTGCCATGATAAAAGAGTAGAAAGTAATCTTTTTTTGTAATTGGAAAAAAAAATTAATACTTAACGATCGTCAAGTGAGTTAAGGGACCTGTTTTGGATGTACGTGTGACTCGTCCCTTGGCTGGGTCATGATGCAAGCTTTGCACAGCAGTGTCTGAGCCAGCGGTGTGGGGCACTAGGGCCACGTGCACTTTGTGCTAGGTTTGGCTGTGGCTATACGGTGGATCTGTGCCAGTGATGGAGGAAAAGCGATGAGCCTGCCTGCAGAGAGAGGGTGCCAGGTCTGCGATGTAGCCAGCCTGGGGGGTGACCTCTGCATGGTTATCCTTCACCACCTTGCACCTTTGCAAGGAAAAGCCTCTGGGGAGCCGCTTGGGAATGAACAGCTGAAACTGGGTTTTGGGTCCTGAAATGACAGCTGCCTTCCAGAGCGTGCCCTGTCTTGAACTGGCAGCAGGGGACCAAAGTCCCACAGGCAGTTCCCTCTGTGGGATCTCAGTGGGAGCCGTGTTTGCGGTGTTGTGACCGGCTGTTAGGTGTGATGGGGAGGTAGATCAGGAGGCGTCTTGCAGGGAGCGTGCGGCGAGGATGCTCTAACAGCAGCCTGCCATTGCAAGGGTCTCTGTGGTGCTGAGCTCTCTGGCAAGTGTTTGCTGGGGCTCAGCGCCTCACTAGATGTATCAGCCCCATCAGAGAAACCACAGGTGTGTCCCCAAAGCACAGACTGTATTCTGTCAGCAAACATCTCTGTTGGTGTCTCTGCTCCTCTCTAGGGCTATGCTGCCTTATTGCTGGGTGACACTAAGCAGGGAAGCAATGCCCCAGGATTTCACCTCCTGTGCTTTTTTCATGGTGGGGCACTTCCACAGCTGCCCGCATTGGGTGGTTGTTCCCCAGCTGGCTGGGGGCAGGCACCTGCAGCCCCAGTGGGTGGGTATGGGCTTGGTCCGTGACACCAGGGAGTTCTGCAACGCACTCTTGGCACTGGTGTTGTCTCGTCCTTCTTTTTGTACCCAGGCTTACAAAGCACAAGCCGCTTCCCAGCCACAGGGATTTCAGGCCTGGGACACTTGAGCAGCGGGAGCTGACAGCGGTATCTGATCTTCCTGAAAGGTTTTGCTCTGATGAATATTCAGTAAAAACATTTTCAGTGCTGCTCCTAGGGCACAGACCATGTATATTCCCGGGTCTCTATAGCATCCAAGACCTCTGTGCTAAACAGACTGAAATAAAATGATAAATAAAAAAAATATGTCTTCACCTGTGCTCCTAAAGCCATGTGGGAACAGTGCTGTCTCCATGGTGCCTTTTAGTAAACGACAAGAGTGCTGGTAACAGGTGTTTCTGTTCATCTGGGCTCCTGTAGGCTGGGAGATCATCCATCTCCTACCTGCTGGGGTTGCATGGCATGTTATTAACCAGAAAAGTACCTTCCCCCTCTCTCTGCCATGTCCCAAAGGGACCCTGCAGTGAGGGCAGAATTGCAAAATCGTGTCTCTGCAATCCAAGAGATAACACAAAAATCCATGGCCTGGTGAGTCCACCAGATTAAATGGATGGAAAGTTACTTGGAGAGAGAGATCCCTTAAACACACTCTCGCAAGGGATCTCTGTGTGTTCCAGAGTGTGTTATATAGCTTTGAGTACAGCAGTAGCTTCTTTATGCTTTCTTGGTTTAACTATGTTTAATGGCATGTTTGTCCTTTTCTGCAATTTTGACAGGATACGAGAACTTGCAGAACCCAAGAAAGCAGCTTGTGCAAACGTTCCCAAGTAAGGAGGTGCCCAGACAGCTCTGGCTCGAGGGCTGGGGACTGATGGGGCCTCAGCCGGTGCAGACCTTTGCCTTTGTCTTGCTACTGCTTTCCTCTCAAGAGCAGAAGTGGCTCCAAAAAAACAGATTGAGATGTTCAGTGTGTGAGGGGCTCTCTTCAGTTTGCTCTTTCTTGTTTTCAATCCAAAAACTGGGCTTGACCCGAGTCTTGCCTTTGCTGCCCCACTGAGATATTGCGGGGTAGGATGGTGCTGTGGTGCAAGGGGACCGGACCTCATTGGAGCCACAGGCTGCTGTATCCTGGAGGACACAGTCAAGTTTTAGGAACAGAGTTGCTGTCTGCGTTATGGGGTCAATCTATGGCTTGACAAGCTAGGGCAACAGACTCTCGATAACGTCTCTTCTCCACTGTCTGGCTGGGTGTCACTGTGCTTGAAAAAGGCTCCACAAACACATCGTCTTGCTGTTCCCTGTCCTGACTACCCTGGTACCCTCTCCCACCATGGCCTCTCTCTCAGTGGGGGATGAGTAGCTCCAAATTTGCCCTGGGCACAGGAGAGTAACCACTAACGTGCTGCAAAACCTCGCCCACTTTCCATGGCACACCCTGACCGTAACATTATTATTATTTTTACTGTCATACCTGTGGTATAGTTAGGTGGTAATGGTGAGGCAAGAAAAATGCAATTATGAAACTCCCCCAGGGGTTTCAAAGATGTAACGAAACGACCCTTTCTGCACATCCACTGGGAACTGTAAAACCAGACGCATCACTTGAAGGCTCTTTTCTTCTTGTGTTGACAACAACCACCTGGACAGTGTTAGGAAATGCAGTGCCAGAGAAGAGGAGTGCTCAGGGGATGGCAGCAGCACTTCACAGCTGTGGGGAGCCGTGTGTGTCCCATCCTAGGCAGGGAAGGATAGCCCCGGCAAGCACATTTCACGCTTGTGCATGTTTCTAAAATTTCACACCCTTGCTGTTCTTGCTAGGCTCATATGGGGAAACCAAGAGACCATCTGGACCCTCTCGCGAGGTGCTGTGACAGCTCAACCATCCCCAAGGATAGTGGCACTGGCCAGGCCCAAGCAAGATTTTGGCAAGCACCAGTGCAGGTCAGTGATGTGGTAGCACATCCTGGGGAAGGAGGCAGCTCAGACGGTGCTCTCTAATCAGGGGGATGTGCTGGCTCTCAGGGGAAGGGGAGATGCCATCTCTCTTGCCACCGCTGCCCCACAGGTGGCTCCATGCCACTGAGACACACCAGGCTGTATTGATGGTTGGAACAGGGGCCATCTGTAGCAGGGAAGAAAGTGCTATGGGAGCATAGTCACCCTGAGTGCTTGACTTCTAAAATGAGGAGGAACTGGGGGGTGCTAAGTTTTGGTGCCCTTTTATTTCCTCATACCCTCTTCCTGGCTGTGGGAAGGGCTTCTGCAACACGTGGTGGTTGCTGGTCGGATTAGAGCTCTGGGTTCAGACCAGCTGCCGTAGGAGCCAGCCTTGATCTCAGTCTCCAAGGTCATGGGAGCATGTTCTTCTGCTGTAACAACAACAACAAAAAAAACCCAACAGCTCTGCTTCGGCTCAGAAGCAGAGACATCATGTGCATGCATGCACGCCTTGATGGAAACATGTATGTGTCATACCTGTGCCTACAGAGGGACCGTCTGTCCCTAGACTGTTCCTTGTCTGTACTGGGGCTGATGCAGCCCAGCCAGGCACCTTAGTGAACCCCTGCATCCTCTTGGAGCCAGGCCTAAATCTTGAGGGTAAAGGTTAGGAAGTGATAGGAACAGAGAAATCTTGCAGCATCCTGCTGGCTGGAGGGAATCCAGGTCTCTTGCCCTGAGTTAAACCTCTGCTGTCACTGCATGGTGAACAACCAAAGCAGTCCATGTTTGGGAATAGGAAGTGAAAAATGATGTAAAAAATGTAAACTTCAGTGGGGCTGGGTGATGCTGCATTACTTGAAGCAACTCATCTGTAGCTCTGTTGGATGGGATGAAGCTCTTTTGGAGACAGGATGGTGGTTGCTAGTCTGTAAGAAGTCCTAGCAATGAGAATGGAGACGAAACTGTGTTGCACTCCTGGCTTTCCTCTACCTGGAGCGATGTCAAGACACGCGTGTCTGTAGTTTTCTCTCCTCTGCCACTGTCATCAGTTCAGGGGCTCTCATCCTCCTGAGAGCTTCTGCCTCTGACTAACGGTGTCCATCTGACAGCCCTTCCTGCCTTTCTGCTTACATCTGCTCACCCCTTCCCTGGTGATGACAGGCATCTGCCAACAGCTGTGGCTGATGGAAAGCTGGATGAGCATGCACTAGGCAAGCCTGGGGACATCCCAAGATGAAACGAGCTGCAAGAGCATGAGGTGCTATTAAGCCATGCAACAAAGATGTTTCTAAATTGGCAGCCTGCAGAGCTGAACAACAGAGATGCTGCCAGGTTTGTGTTGTAGAGTGGCTTCTTGAAATGGTCCAGGGAAAGGCCTAGACTTTGAAAGCAATGCTCTGAGGGTGCTTAAAAGAGGACTCTTCATATGCAAACAGCATTTACCTTTAAAGTCAGGAAATCTCACGTGTGAATGCCCATTTGTTCGTGGCTTTTCCATGTGCAGCGGTGCCAACTTTTGCATATGCAGCAGGCACAGATGTTTAGCCAGACTTAGGACACCGTCTGCCAGGATCACGTTTTCTGTCAGTTGCCTTTTACTACCTCTTCTGTGCTCTTCCTCATGATCCCTCTTCTTGTACAGCTGTGGACGAGAATCAACGACCTGGGAGTGTCCCCCGGTAGTGAATTTTGGCTTCCCTTCTGATCGTCTGCTGAAGTTGTCTGAACCTAAAAAATACCAGGCTGCTTACCTGCAGCAAAGGTGAGAGGCCAGAAAGCCTGTAGGGTGCTATAGGTAGGCCCTTGGGTCTTACAGCATCAGTGCGGCTTCAAAGTAATAAATACAGGAACAGAGGATGGGTACAACAGAGGGCAAAATGCAGAGCCGGGACTATGCTGGGATTAGGACTTCTGGACGCTCATGGGATGAATGGGTTCTACGCTGGAAATGGCCACAAGACAAAGCTGCCTTCTACTGCAGCAAACATGAGGCTTAAACATCCCAGCTGCAGCCTAGTTTAACCAGTGTGGGGGAATATGCATGAGTGGTGGTGCCATGACTCTCTGCTTCCAGACCTTGCCAGTCCCCTGAGTGGCCCGTGTCGCCAGCTGCACTGAGCTATAAGGCCTCCCCACGGATCCTGGAGCTTGCTCGGCCGAAGGTGCTGCACCCAGAGTTCCTGCTGGCCAGAGAGGTGAGGAGGTGGTTGAGTGAGCCATGCAGCAAACTGTCCTGAGTTTTTACACCCTGTATCCTGCCCCTGGATGTGCCCAGTGTGTGCTATGGAGGCGAGAAGCTGTCTGGTTCTGCTGGGGTTTGTGATACTGAGAGAAACGGCCTTTTTGGAGTGAGATGCTGTCTTTGAAAATCTCCCTGCTGAGAGACAGAAAACAGCCAGGCTGGAGCAGCCTAGAATAGCAGGAGAGCCAAGGGAGGAATCTGGGTTGCATCCCCTGATAAAGCAGCCTGGGAAAGTGGAGAATCCTGATGGGAATGGCCTGTTTAGCTCCTAGGGAGTACAGTCGTATGTGTAGTTGGGCAGCTGTGCTCCTATCTGTGTATCCAGGGGGGATGAGCCTGCAAACACTATGTATATTTTAATAGTGTTTTACCAGAAGCCTAATTTAGAGATGTATTTCTGAACGTGCTCCTTTTAGGCGGGTCATAGCTGTGGCAGGGGTGAAAGGGCTTGGGGCAATCTCAGATTAGTCATTTCCATGGCAAAGGCCAAGTTTTCTGGCTGCAGTCTCTGGGCTGGGAAATAAAGGAGGCTGTGCTGGAGCGGGCCTTGGCATCAGTAACCCTGTGAAAAGTAGGGGGAGAAGTCCCATGCTGGAGCAGTAATCACTTTTGCTGTAGGAATGCAGTCAACTGCACCAGCACTTTTACCCTGAAATCTGAGTGTCTCTCCATAGCAAGGAAATTATTTGATTCGGCCAGGAAGATGAATGTGAAAAACATTTCCCTACTCTGAAAGAAATTTCTCTGCACTTTTACCGGGCTACATAGGCTCTCGTTACAGGCATTCCTCTCCTGGCTATGAGTGGGTGACAGTTGGGGAAAAAAGTCATATTGGCCAAGACATACAAATTCCAATAGCGCCAAAATTACCTTGTAGTTTGGGTGAAAAAAGAATAATGGGTGCTGGGAAAGTAAGAATGCTCCTTCTTGTGACCATGTCTGTAGAGGAAGGGTGCTGGGTGCTCATCGCTTTGGAGATGGAGTGTGTCCCTGTGGGCTGCTGTGGACGAGCTCTGTGTCTGCATCCCTCCCGCATTCTGAACCCATGTAGGTGCCAACACAGGTTACAAATGTCGCGGCCTTGGCCAGAGCATCCTCACGGTTACAGCGTCTTGCAGAGCCCCGTGTCAGGAAGGTGACCTGCTGCTACGAGCACAGCTTTCCTGAATCTGTCATCCGTCCGGTAAGGCAGCATCACACGGGACCATCATGCCGGGCAGAGGGCACTGGGTGCCCAGTCGCTGGTGGCTCTCTTCATGGCAGCCCTGGATGTGCTGCTGTCTGTGAGGCTGATGTTGCTGCTTCCTGGGCTGGAGAGCAGGACTCGTCCTCCATCCAGAGCATGAGCTGGCTCCCAGCAGACATCCCCAGAGAAGGGCAGACCTGTGCCTCGCCTGCAGTTGTGGGGATGGGGAGAGCTGGACAAGTGCCTAACTGGGATCTCCAGTGCTGGGGGATGGGTTGTACAAAGGGCTGTGAGCAGGAGGAGGTTGGAGGGCAGGCTGTGGGACTGGCCAGGCAATGGTTTCTCCTTCCACAGCTTGTCTGGTGCCAGACACAACTGTGGGCAGGATCATGTTCCATCTGTGCGTGGTCAGTGGCTGTGAACCTGGGTACACCGAGTTGCAGGCTGGTCACCCTTGAATGCCAGGAGCACCTGTAAGGACCTTCCTCCCCATTCTTCCACAGGTTTCCAAGTTGGCTCAGGAGGCAATTGCGAGCCCTCGGACCCTGGAGCTGGCTAGGGCAAAAGGATTGCATCCTGACTACGTGCCCCTGCGGGATGCTGAGTGGCCAGTGACGAAGGCTGCAAAGCACGCAGTGGCCACACCAAGGCTCGTGGAACTGGCTCAGCCTTGCAAAAGGTAGGTGCTGCTTCCCTGCCATGGGGAAACGATCAGCTGTCAGCCCATTTTGTGCAGGCCATGGCACCTTGTTATTTGGGTTTGGCCAGTGTGATTAAGCCACTGCTCTTCCACTTCCAAAATGCATTGATTTTGTATGGCTGGATGTGCTAATGCTACATGGATTGTGGTTTGAAAAGCATTTCTGAGGTGGAAGGAGAACCGAAAGAGAAGAAATAGGAACTTTCTAATTCCAGTAGGAATTACTGGTTGGGACTTCTTAATTATTAACTAAAAAGCAGTCAGCTGACACACGGCAGAGTGTAGCACGTTCGAGTTGCCCAGCATTCTATTCTGTGATTCTGTGATGCAGCTGGCCTCAGCCTGGGCTGCAGGAAGTGCTGCGTAGGATGTTTCACAGAGGGTGAGGGAATGCCTGGCTGTAGTGGCTGTGACAGCTTCAGTGAGAGATGGGGCCCCCCTTCTTACTAGTGTCCTGGTGACGGCAGCGGAGGCATGACTGCTTTTGTCCTCCCTTGACAGGGAAGGGCAGGGCTCAGGTGGAGGTGTGTCAGCTGGCAGGCAGCTTTGAGAGCTGGCCCTGCTCCAGTTGGAATTGACTGGCTCTGTCCTCGCTCCCCCAGGCCTCCTATGGGCTTGGCTCAATTCAACCCAGACGCGTTCACAGTGAAGGAAACTGCTAAGAAGGCAACTTGTTCTGCTCGGATCCAAGACCTGGCTCGTCCAATTAAGCACTGAGCTCCCTCGGAAACACAGGCTGCTGCTCGTGCCGGCTGCCCCCATCACCCCTTGGAACATCACCCTTTTCGAGCTGTGCTTCCACCTATGGCTGGAAAACCTGCTTGAACATGGCGCAGAGGCGGCACCCAGCAGGAACGTTTTCTTACGAGCAGCCACTTTTACTGGGCTTATCTGGGGATTTAAATAAAATGGTCATTCCTTAAGAACAAAATAGTCACCAGGGGAAACGAGCAGAATTTGACCTAATGTGGGAAGCTTCTCTCCCTAGGACGGGTTATGTCTGGAGTTTATCAGTTCTCTTATTTTTTTGCTGTAATAGTTAAAGAAGTAATGAAACAACTGCTGCGGGAAGCCAGCACAGGAACTGTTCTTTCACATAAAGAAGTGTGGCAAACCACAGCTGACGGCGCGCAGTAGGTTGATGCAACACAACTTCTGACCTTGGGTTTCAAAATTTTTGCTAAAGTTTAGAGATCTTAGTGACACTCAAAGTTTTGTGCTTGTGACAGAAGTAGAAAGACAAAAGGCTGCAAAATTCCAGATACAGGGCTGGATTTGATAAGGTGCAAAGCTTTAGTACAGACTTTGGAAATACTGGGGTGGCAAGTGCGTTGGGTTGGCTTGGATTTGGGCCCTGTTTTCTCAAATGCCTGGAGAATGGGCAGATCCAGCCTTTTGCTTTGCATGCATCTTTGATACAAGTTACACAGGTGGGTTAAATCTGTGTGGTTCAGATATTGAGTTGTGTGACCCTGGGCAAAATAATGGAGCTCTGCATTGGGATTTTTGGAGTCTAACTCAAAAAAAGCAGAGTTCCCCTCAGTGCAAGGGAGAAGGCACGTTGCAAAGACTAAGAAGAAAACAGATACCGGTGCCAGGCTCTGCAGAACAAACTCTGAGCTCACTCTGAGAGTGAGTCAGTTTGGCAGCTGGATTGCAGGGGAACAACACAGCCTGTGTAGGACATGGCACAGGGAGATTGCTTTTATCTGTTTCCTACGAGTTTGGTGTGCTTTGCACTGGCAACCTAACCACTGGCGATGGGCTGGAGATACTGAGATAAGAGAGATGCTCTCCAGCAAGGGACAAAAGCCATAAATGAAAGCATGTGGCAGTTTCAGTGCCAGTGTATCTTAATCTTCCCTGTGTTAAGCTGATTCTCCTTCCAAAGGAGTAGAGGCAGGTGACCACAAACCGGAAGAGGATTAATCAGAGGATCCACTAATTGATTCAATAATCCACTAAGCAGAGGATTTTTGAACCCTTTTGAACAAGATAAGGTCACTGGGCAATGGTGCTGGTTATTTTTTAGCCCATGTATTGTCCTGTACCAGGATGGATGAGAGTTTGGGCAAGTTTGAGCTTTGTGCAAGAGCCCCAGCGCAGCTGCATCCCTCAGGCTTGAGAATGGCCAGAAGAAGGCTGGGGTCTGCCCTCCCCCCCGCCACCCTGCGGGGCAACCCCAGCACCACCAGCCTCTGCCACCTCGGGGCTTGGGGTGCACGGGGGGCTGTGTGGGCTGCCAGGGATGGACCTGTGGGTGCCCTAGAAGAGGAGGTTGCCCATGTCTGCAGGCTATCCCTGCGGCAAGAGGGAAAACCCACGGTGTGCACTGAGGCTGCCTTGGAGAAGAGGCTGGGGTCTGCCCTCCCCCCTCCCCCCGCCACCCTGCGGGGCAACCCCAGCACCACCAGCCTCTGCCACCTCAGGGCTTGGGGTGCATGGGGGGCTGTGTGGGCTGCCAGGGATGGACCTGTGGGTGCCCTAGAAGAGGAGGTTGCCCATGTCTGCAGGCTATCCCTGCGGCAAGAGGGAAAACCCACGGTGTGCACTGAGGCTGCCTTGGAGAAGCGTTGCCCTCCAGGAGGAGTCTGCCTCCTGCCATTGGGGCGGGGAGCACAAGCAGGGACATAACACAGCTGCTCTCATCAAAAAACTTTGGTATTTTATTAATGCATTGGAAAAAAAAAAAGGCCAGTTCTTTCCCTTTGGTGACCTTTAACAGCAATGTGAGAAATGCATTCAAGGGGGGCTTGGCTTGGTCTGATCATGGTGTAGGCACTTGGTTTGCCAATATCCAGAGCTGACTTGGGCATCTTGAGCTAACGAAGATCACCTGAACAGCACATCTGGTTTTCCAGGTGCCCTCCTCTCTGGATGATCCGTATATTAAAGCTAGCACACATACTTTGCCTCTGGGGGTCACAAAAAAAAGAAATCCTTTTTCCCCCCTCCATATTTGAACCTTTCATGGCAGCTTTTCTGCAAGTCTGGGCCAAGGGCATGAGATTGCTTTGCCCTGTGCAGCCGCTCTTACTGGATGGGGAGCACTAGGTTCTATACAGCCATCAGAAGCTGTATACACAGATACATATAATAATTTTTTCCTGGTTATGTACACTTTAAATAAAAATTATGTTAAATAGCAGGGTATTACTTTGTATCTCAAAACCTATTGCAACAGAAGAATCCCAAGGAAACCCACTCTGAAGAGCTTCACCATCATTTACAGCAGGCATGGGGATCGGAGCAGCATCCTCTAGTCCCTGACAGACCCGCTTTCTGAGGGCAGTCCTTCAGACTTCCTCCACTCTGCCAGACGCTGCTTGAACCATTTCTGCAGGAAAAAAAAAACCAACAGAGATTGAGTGCACTGGGCCGAGCGAGACCTCCGAATAGCTTTGCTAAAGGTGCAGATGTGGTCAGCATGTGGGACCAGGAGAGGGAAACTCGTGGCAGTGCTATCTTGTGGCAAGGCGCCGCGCTGCTCCCAGGCAGTACAGGCAGCAGGACAGCTGCTCCTGACCAAACGGTCTTGTTACCTATGTGCGCACCTCTTTCAAACTCATTTCTCTTGCTCACGTCAGACCTTGACAGCATGGGTAAGTCCTTGTTTTATTGCCGTGAGTCCAGGTTTTTCTTGCAAAATTTAAGAACAAATAGATTTAAAAAATGGGTTAAAAATGATCTTAGTCTTCAAGCAATATGCATGGCTACGTTATTCTGTAGTAACTTAGCATCTCTAAGCGAACTCCCAGAGCTGCTGATGCCACTTCAACACGGCCTCAATTTCAAATGTTAGATAAATCGCAGTTGGATAAAGCCACGCTACCTCCGTATGAAGAGAGATGTAACTCGTGTGTGCCGGAAGCACAGCTCAGCCTTTTGTTTGGGAATGTGCCTGTGATTTGCTTTGTTGCTGCTCATTTTGTTGCTATATTTGTTCATGGCTATTTTTGAAACTATTGTGGTCCGTAATGATACAACCATGGTGCTCTCTACAAGTGACTCTCGCACTAGCACTGCCTTGGACCACATCCAGTCAGATGATTGCCTGCCTAGCCTCCTCCCAAAAATTTCACTTCCTGTCCTAAACCATCATCTCCTGTTGACTCAGTACCTCTTTGCATCTCATCTTTACTAAATTTTTTATTAAAATGGCTGCTATATCTAGCCAATAAAGCACTCCAGATGTCAGGAGCAATGATTCTCTGTGTCATACGCAATGCAGGCACTTTGCAGCTCACCATCCCAGTCTCGATCCTGTCCCTAACATGACCTTCATCTCCAGATCTCTAGGAGCACCCTGGATTCGTGGAAAAAGATGGCTTTCAGGGAAGATTTTAAGACCTCTCTAGAGGTGTCCTGGGCATACATGGCCTGTGTTTACAACTTGCTTTAGGAAAAGAAATGGAGCAGTGCCATTTCTAAGGAGGAACAGGTATTTCAGGGGTACTGCCTCCTTGTTGCCTCAAACAAGCAGTGCAATGTGATGCCCGCCTCTCACCAAAGCACAGTAGAGGAGGGGTCTCCTTTTCCACTCCAGCCAAGGACTATCAGTACAATGGATGTTATACCAGCCTCCTTCCCTGGGACAGGCTAAATGCTGGCATTGCCTGCTCGGCTCTCATATCCCTTTGGCTTTGCCCAGGGACAGCCAGGTTTGGCAGCTCTCTGCAAAATGCTGCTGAATTTTCAGTGGGTTGGATTTCTTTTCGATACCCATCAGTGCTGCTATGGGTTTAGTAGCTTATAAAACACCTGCATCAAAAACGGTTGCACCGCAGCCTGAAGGAATTGGGAAGGAGCTGTTCGCTTCTGAAGCCCAGAGTAGCCTGCAGGTAGTCAGGTGGAGCACAGGGCTCGGTGGAAGTCCCAGACAGTGGCAGCCTGTCCCTGTGGAGGGACATTTGGAGGCCTCTGTGTCTCCTGGAGAGGCTGACAGACTTGCCCGACATCTGGGCTTTGGGTCACTGAACTAGCTAATTGCAGTGAGGGGGAGGGTGCACAGCCTGAGCATGTCCCACAGCACATCTGCAGGAGTTGCACCTATTCTGTATCTGTTTTAAAATGACTGTAGTTTCTTCAGACCATAAAGCCAGCAGTGGTTTAGGCACCCTAAACCAAGACTATCAGAAATGGGTTGGAAGGAAAGGACAGCATGCAGGGGTTGTATATATTCAGGGCTCCACAGCCAGCCAGTGATCCTCGGCGTGTGCCCTTGTTCTGGCTGTGGGGAGCACTAGCCTGGTCTCCAAGTCCAGGGCTCCCGGGCAGGGGGGGACGCAAGGGTCCCAGTGGGGCACGGGACTGCTATGCAGTAGGCCATGGCTGTGGGATGAAGGGGCTGCGATTACAGGGAAAGGGGCTTTGGGGATGCAGGGGCAGACATGTGGGGTGCAGGGAGGATGTGGGGCACAGGGAGGTGCGGTGGTGCAGTAGAGCTCTGTGGCTGCAGTGTGGGGTTGGGAGTGCACTGCGGGTTGCAGAGGTGCAGAGGAGACTTGTGGGTGCAGTGTGGGGTGCAGTAAGGAGTATGCGGGGTGCAGAGTGGTGCAGAGAGTGTAAGTAGGGAGCGTATGGGGCACAGAGGGGTGCAGTGGGTGCAGTAGGAAGCATGTGGGGGGACAGAAGGGTGCAGGGGGTATGATAGAGAGCCAGGGAAGGGACAGGCA